TTTAAAAATCCTCTTTTCTCCTTTTCCTCCTCAGTCTCTGTGGGCAGTCTTGTGGTTATCTCCTGGGGTGCTTACATTTCAAAGGCATGATACAATTTACAAATTAAAGGCACAGAGAAAGAAGGCAAGTTTTCTCCTAGGAGGGTTTTGTTTAATTGCTATTTAAAAATTTCCCTTCTAGGGGCGCCTGGGTGCCTTCGGTTCAGGTCATGATCCCAGGGTCCATCGGGCTCCCTGCTTGGTGGGAAGCCTGCTTCTCCCCCTCCCACTCCCCCTGCTTGTGTTCCCTCTCTCTCACTGTGTCTCTCTCTGTCAAATAAATAAATCTTTAAAAAAAATTTCCCTTCTATTAAAGGTTGATGGCATGGCGCTCTTTGGTCTGTTTCCTCACCAATCACCACCAAATCCTCCTCTGCATTCTCTTCACTTTCCCAGAGATCCCACCGCTTAGCATCCCACTTTGTCGCAGGTGCCCAGATCTTCATCCAAGATCCCTTGTACCCCTCCTAGCTTTGCAGAAGGGCACGCTGAGGTCTCCAGCTGATGATCCTGCTCCCCCACCTTGTCGGCCAGCCCCGAAGCCGGCAGAGCAGCAGACCACCATCTGTCCTTCTGTATCCTCAGCTCTTCCTCCAGCTCCGGCACCCGAGCTGCAGCCTCTAGTGGGGCCTCAGCGGCCAGCCCAACACAGTAGAGGCCAGCCCACCGTGGCACCCTTTGTTCTCTTCTGAGCTGCAGTGTGCTGTGCACAGATCTCACACAGGTGTGTTAAAGCATCACCCCTGTTGTCTCATAATAGTCCACAAGCATCTAATATATGGGCCCCTCCTCCCCACATAGAGGTTGATGGCCAACTCGTGCGGATGCCTCCTTCCTGGCTGGCTCACCAATTGTTAGTTCGCAAGCTCCTTGGGGCTTCCCAGGTGTGACCTGAAACTGGCCCCCATATGTGGAGGGCAGGAAGAGATGGAAGAAGGAGGCAGATGACTTCCGATTGGTAGGTGGTAGGTTTTATGAGCAAGTGAACTTATATATGAGGCTTGCCTTGGCTGGCCACAAGATGAGTAGATTTCCACAATCCTGTCCACCCAATCTAGAAAATTTAGGTAGAGGTTTTAACTGGGTTCAGTCATATACCCAGTCCAGAGAGCCCCCACGGCACATTTCTCTTTCAAGGCTGTATCCTGGGGGCAGCTTCTGGGAGTGAGGAAAGCAAGTGGAACTCACATTCCAAGGACAGATTGGGGGATGGGATCCTCCAGGTGCCCGGTCCAGCTTGCAGGTCAACCGGCAGTCAGGTCTTCTTGATGGCTTTCTTCAGCAGGCAGGCACCGTTTTAAGCGGTTTGAAGCATCCTTCTGAAGTGGTATTTCAGGTTCAAGCAGAGAACTGGAACCACTCTAAATGGTAGAGAATAGGGCTTTATTGTTGATTGCAGGGATGAGACTTTACAGGCTGGTGGGGGCTGCAGAAGAAGCATCTGGCAGGCTATTGTCCCTGAAGTCAGCAGGGCTACCTGGAAGGAAGGAAATGGCATAGAGTGAAGCAGAGCAAAGACAACGGGAGCCCTGGAGATGGACTGGAACTCCATTTGACCCTTGCTGGTGTAGCCTCAGTGGTGTGGGTGGTCTGAAGTAGAAGCCTTGACCAGCCGGTGTGGGTCCCACTGACAGTTTTTCTTATATTTCTTTACATTGCACCATGCATACTTTTTTCTAGGTAATCAGTTCCCGACGTTTCTTTTATAGGAGTGCTTGGCATAATTTGGGGCTTGCCATTAGCGCTTAGTGTGGCTGTTTGCTGGAATAAGTTAGTGCATTGATCACCTGCTTGGGCCCCTTTAACACAAATTGCTACATTGACTGCACAGTATTTGCTTGCCAGGGGCTGCAGGTCTCACCCCCCCGCCCCGTGGAAGGGAGAATTGAGATTCGAGTGCTCTGGTCTGTTTCCCCAGTAAGCAATGCTCCAGATGTGAGCAAAGGTCTGCTGGTGCATCACTGCCCTTCAGCCAAGCCGCCTGTCCAGTAGTGAGCTTCCTGGGATAGCAGACCCAGGAGAGGACTGCTAAAGCCATAGTGGCTATTCTCAAGATGCATAGGGGTACCCCAGCTCCTTGAGACTTAGATGGGGTGAACACAGACTCTCTCTACATCTGGGAATTTAGGGATGAGGGCTTTGCCAACAGCCTGAATGGAATCAGAAAGGCTTCAGGTATGGGGGTTGAGCAAAGCAAGAATTCAGTCTCTGAATTTGGAGTCTCAAAGTGCTTGACTATGTCAGTCTTCCAACTTAGGCTTTCTGAATCCTGTCAGCAACTGGGTCTGTGTTGATACATTGCATTATATCCTGTGGGTGCCAACATTCATGATTAGAGGGAGTCCCTGCACAAAGGGAGTTGTGATTTGGAGATCCTTGCCCACCTTCACCCCTACCCCTACCCCTCATGGACCCTGCTTTGTCACTTATGCACAGCAGGGACTTGGGATCTGCCAAGAGGCTAGGTTTGGCATAGTCCTTACTGATAATTTGAGGAGGTGAAAATGATAATAAGAATAGTAGTAATAATAATAAAATTCAGGGAGGTGATTATTTTAAAGAACTTTAAAATTTGAAATAATTTTAGATAAAAGAGTCACAAAGACATTACAGGGATTTCCCGTATATCTTTCATCCAGCCTCCCCTGACATTAACATCTCATATAGATAATCAGGGCACATTTGCCCAAACTCCAAGATTACTAGGCTATTACTAAAACTCCAGGCTCCATTCCAGTTTTGCCAGGTTTTCCACTTAATATCCTTTTTCCATTCCAGGATCCAGTCCAGGACACCATGTTGCATTTAGTCCTCTGTCTCCATAGTTTCCAATCTGCCACAGTTTCTTGGTTGTTCCTTACCTTTCATGACCTTGACGTGTGAAGAATACTGCTCAGGTATTTTGTAGACTGTCCCTCCATGTGGGTTCATTTGGTGTTTTTTCAAGATTCAGATGAGGTTATGGATTCTCGGGTAGAAGAACACCAAGACCTGTTCTCGTCATGTCACATCTTATCAGGAAGCACATGATATCTGCATAACTCATTAATGGTCCTGTTAATCTTGATTACCTGGCTTAGATCACTTGCCAGGCTTTTCCCCTGCAAAGTTACTATTTTACCCTTACCATACCCTACTTGTTAGATACCCATCACGAGCCCAGCTCACACTCAGGGAGGAGGGAATTCAGCTGCCCCTCCTAGAAGAAGGATTAGCAAAGGATCTGGGGACATATGTTAAGACCAACCACCACTGATCAGTATTCTGGGGGAGATGCTCTGATGCTTTGTAGATATCTTGTTTCCGGGGAGGTGATTTTTCAAATGATTTTGTTCAGTTTTTGAAGCCAGGAAAACAGTCTGTCTTCCTTTTTCCCAGCTTTCTGGCACTAGGTTAGTGAATTTGGGTAATAAGATGCTTAAGGAGTCTTACTTCTTTTGTATATGTGATGCTTTATCAGATTTCTGCTGGAAGTTGCATTTTAATATTGGAGAGAATCTGGAGGCTGTGTCTCATGGGAGCGATGCACGGGGGCTCCAAGCTGAGGAGCGTGGTGGGCCCAAATGTCATGAGATGGTGGTGCTGGCTTTTGCGTGTGTGACTCGTTCATTTTCTTGCAAAGTTAAGGTAAAAACTTATAGGAAGTGCTAAGATAACGTCAATAGCAGACTTTATTTTTAGATGCCTTTTCCGCACCTTGAAGGCTAAATTTGAACTTCTAATTGCCTTTGTTTGAATTTAAGGAAAAAACATGGTTATAAGTAGCATCAGCCATGATCGACCCTGTGGCCAATTCAGTAGGCTCTGTGTTGAAGTGTTCTTAGTCCAGTGATGTACTTATGTGTTCCTGTATTCTCCAACTGCTTTTTGAATTATTTATGAAAAACTGCACATAGCATGCACTGTTTTTAGCATTCCACCCAATTACGTTACTGATCAGTGATTGCCAAACATTTTGGCAGAAGAGTGTGAAGGGGCATCTCCTACAGGAAAAGGAATACTTAGTGTCTAAGGGAATATAAAACTGGATTATCTGTTTTTGATCATATTTTCCAATTCCCAGTGACACAGGTAAGTGACCTATGAGAACAAGCAAGATACTCCCACCTGGTGGCGGCATACCCAACTGATTATTTGTTCAGGGAACAAAGCGGGTCTTTTTTTTTTTTTTAATTTTATTATATTAGTCACCATACATTACATCATTAGTTTTTGATTTAGTGTTCCATGATTCATTGTTTGTGTATAACACCCAGTGCTCCGTGCAGTACGTGCCCTCTTTAATACCCATCACCAGGCTAACCCATCCCCCCACCCCCCTCCCCTCTAGAACCCTCAGTTTGTTTCTCAGAGTCCATAGTCTCTCATGGTTCGTCTCCCCCTCCGATTTCCCCCCCTTCATTTTTCCCTTCCTACTCTCTTTTTTTTTTTTTTTAACATATAATGTATTATTTGTTTCAGAGGTACAGGTCTGTGATTCATCAGTCTTACACAACTCACAGCACTCACCATAGCACATACCCTCCCCAGTGTTGATCCCCAGCCACCCCATCCCCCCCCACCACTCCAGCCCCCTCAGTTTGTTTCCTGAGATCAAGAATTGCTCGTATCAATGAGATCATATGATACTTGTCTTTCTCTGATTGACTTATTTCACTTAGCATAATACCCTCTAGTTCCATCCACGTCATTGCAAATGGCAAGATTTTGTTTTTTTATGGCTGCATAATATTCCATTGTATATATATGTACCACATCTTCTTTATCCATTCATCTGTTGATGGAAATCTTGGCTCTTTCCATAGTTTGGCTGTTGTGCACATTGCTGCTATAAACATTGGGGTGCACGTACCCCTTTGGGTCACTGCATTTGAACAAAGCTGATCTTTAAGGCAAGTGGTTTGCAGATAATCTGTTCTAGCGGGAGGTGAACTGTTGAAATCTGGAACTTTCTCTCCTAGGATGATTTCCTGTTCAGCGTCTCCATTTTAAGTGGGATCCTTTGCAGCATCCTGGCTGTGTTGAAGTTTATGCTGGGGAAGGTTCTGACCAGCAGAGCACTCATAACAGATGGTGAGTAAGGCCAATATGCCTGATCTCTGGGGGGCTGAGCTCACAGTGAGGGGAGATGCTATTCAGTTGCTTGTCCTGCAGAAGAGCTCAACAATTTGGAATCTGTTCCTCACTATCCTCCCCTCCCCAGGCTGTTTAATGATTCTCAGGGTTCCCATATCAGGGCAGATGTCTTGTACCCTGGGAATTTAATAAATTTCATGAATCACCTCCACTCTGACCTCTTTAACAGGGTGGATCAGGGCTCCGCAGCCTGTGGTGTTTGTTAAAAATACAGATCCCAGAGCCTGACCCCCTAAAGATTCTGATTCTGGGAGTTGGAGGTGGAGTCCAGGAAGCCACACTTATACCAGTGCCCCAGGCTAGGTGGTGCACGCTGAGATTGGGTGCTGCCTCCTTGGCCAACCCAAGAGGCCAGGACACAGCGTCACAGGGTCCAGGGGAGACGGACCCTGCAGTGTCTCGCGCTCCTATGTGACCTTTTGACCACCAGCTTCTCCAACCTTCCTCAAATGCCACTTCCTGCAGCGCCTGCTGGTGGCCTCTGCCCTAACAAGGCAGGGCTGCCCGGGGCCGTGGACGCCATTTGCCCGTATGGAACCGAAGCTTTTTAAGCACAAAAGCTGTTTAAGACAGTAAAAGGGTTGGTGACTGGGACTGAGCCGTCCTCTTCCCTGCTCTGCTTTTAAGCAACGGGAGGCCCCGCCTGGCTTCTCAAGCTCCCAGGTGGACCCCAGGGCAGGGGCAGGCCGGGGGAGGGCAGGGGCAGGCCGGGGGAGGGCAGGACCCAGCCGGCATCAGCTCCTGGGTTTGCTGCTGGGACAGCACGGTGCTGCAGGAGCACGGGGCCAGCAGAATCCGAACCACCTCTTTCAGGTTTCTGCCCCATTGCTGGGCAGCCTCCTGCCTGGTCGCCAGAAGTGCATTTGCCACTTAGGTAGCCCCTCTGGTATAAATGAACTGGGGTTCTGTTGTGTGAGAACTCTGCACGCATGCCTGAGGCCACGGCCTGCGCGTCTTCTGAGGGCTCTGCCACCCACCGAGACACCGTGGCTTTCCAGGCGGACTGCATTAAGCTGCGCCTAGTATATGGTCCCGTCACACCCTGGCCCGAATGGATGCCCTTTCCCCTCCGGGGACAGACCCAGAATCTGAGGAGGAGTGTTCATTCCCCGTGATCTTTGTGGTCTGGTGTTTTTTAACCTGGGAAAGGAAATGCCTCCTTTGGACTTGGAGTTCTCCTGTACTTGGGGGTGGGCAGTCCAGGGCGCGCTCGGCTGGGAGCCGCAGGCTGGGCGGCATTAGCCAGGCATCCGCATGCGGGTTCTCCAGCCCCCTTCGAGGTCTCGTTCCGTTGCTCTGAGGGACACGGCTCTGCCAGGGCCTGGAGGCCTGAACAGGAAGCAGAGGCCTGGCTGGCCTGTGGCTTCTCCAGCGGTGGTTCTGTGTCTCCTTCCCTGGGACCCGAGGGCCCGGGAGGGCAGGCCTGGGGGAGGCTGCACCCTCAGCACAGCTCTCCGGGCTCCCAGCTGTGAGTACTCACCAGGGGCTCCTCTTTCAGCCTTGCTTTAGGCCCTGAAGACACCAAGCCCCCTGGCCCGCAGAGCATCCACATCTTATCTATTCCCTTGACTGCAGTGGAGACCCAGGAGGTGCCCCCCGCTCCCGCCCCGGCCCCAGAAGCCTGGGTGTGGACCCAGCAGTCAGACCCGCCCCTCCCACCATGAGCGTGGGGTCCAGAACAAGGGCCCCCCCTGCCTTGACTGCAGTCTTACTTCCTGTTAGATATTCCAGATATTAAGCTTCTGTTCAGGCTTCCGTGTCCTTCTCACCTCCTCCCATTTTATATGGTGTGCGGAGAAGACCGTGATTATAAGTTGGTTTTTTTAATGAATAACTTTTTTTTTTCTAAAGATTTTATTTATGTGTCAGAGAGCACAAGCAGGGGGGACAGCAGGCAGAAGGAGAAGCAGGCTCCCCACTGAGCAGGGAGGCCTGACGCGGGGCTCGATCCCAGGACTCCAGGATCATGACCTGAGCCGAAGGCAGACGCTTAACCGACTGAGCCACCCAGGCGCCCTAATGAATAACTTCACTTCTGACTCTATAATCCTCACACACAAAACCAGCTACACACAAGCAGTGTTTCCATCACAGTCTTGAACCAGGGAGGGCTCTTGAGAAAGGGAAGTGGAGGGTTTGAGTGGAAACTGTTCCACCCACAGGCAGAAAGTGGGGGAGCCATCCTGGGGGTCGTGGTGGGAGAGAGTCTGGGGTATCGGAGGGGCACGTGGGATGAGGGGGCATGGCAGATCCTGCCGGACATCGGGTCCACGGTAGGATTCTGGATGTTTTCTTAAATATTTAACACATGGTGACATGATCGATGTTTTCTAAAGAGCCCTGTGGCCGTCAAGGGGGGAGACAGAGCGGAGGGAAGGAGAGCTGAGGCGGGAGAAGTGTGGGGAGCCGCGGGGGTGGCGGGTGGTGGCCTGCACAGAGTGAGGGCAGAGGGGTGGAGGATGGCGGGACTTGAGGACGTGGCAGCACTATTTGTTTTTTTTGTTGTTTTTTTGTTTTTTATTAAAGATTTTATTTATTTATTTGAGAGAGAGAGAGAATGAGAGATAGAGAGCACGAGAGGGAAGAGGGTCAGAGGGAGAAGCAGACTCCCTGCTGAGCGGGGAGCCCGACATGGGACTTGATCCCGGGACTCCAGGATCATGACCCGAGCCGAAGGCAGTCGCTTAACCAACTGAGCCACCCAGGCACCCCGTGGCAGCACTGTTTGTAAAACGGGCAGGGCTCGGGGTTGAATTGTCCCTGGGGGCTGATGAGAGAGACAGACACAGGACAGACAGCACTATTGCAAAGAATAAAGGCAGCAGGGTACCCCATCCCCAAGCCTGTTACCCATTAGGGACCCCCGGGGGGTCGGCAAGCTCCACAGTCCCCTGCTTGGTGGGAGTGCCAGCCGACCATGCAGCGCTAATTACAGCCTCCTGCTAAGTGTGTTGTCTGGGCTCCCAGTTTTACCCCTGCATTGATGAGCAGATGTAGGGAGAACCATGTGTAGCTATCTCCTCTTGCTCCTTCCCTCCTTTGGGGAGGGGCTTCAGGAGCCATGCCTATCTTTAACGTCGGGGGTCTTCAGAGGGGCTGGCTCTGGAGGGCAACCCTTGTGGCTGCCGCCCCGGGAATGCCCCTCTCATGGTCTGGCCCCGGGGCTGAGGGCAAGACTCTCTCCAGGAGGGAAGCAAGTTCAGCAAACTGCTTCCCATGCAGGGAGGGAGGGCAGGCCTTATCCGTCACCTGGGGCAGTGGCCCTTCCCACGCGTGGGAGCTGTGCATGAACTGGGTCAGGCTGACTCCACCAGATCCTTTGTCGCTGGGCTGTGTCCTTACAGCCGGAAAGAAGACCTTCAGGGAAAGTGGGACAGCAGGTGTGGGCAAATTCCAGACACTCCCACTCTGTGCCGTGCAGTGTGGTAAATCTTGTCTAACTTGGTTTTGTTGCTTTGAATATTCGGTCAACATGCGATTTTTGCTGTCAGCACTAGGCCGAAGCTGGCTGTGTTATTTAAGGCAGAATGATTTTTGCACAAGTGAAGAGTGCCAATCGGACAGAGGGGGATTGTGGAGAGGTGCCGGGGGAAGTTTCGAACCAGGAGCCAGCAGCTGGGCTCCAGAGCAGCCTGCAGCGACAGATGGAAATCTGGCGGGGGGAGTGGTGGGGCACTGGGCCCACTGTCCTCATTCCCTCAAGTTCTGAAACCCCAAGAGGCTGGGATCGTTTTCCAGCACATGAAGAACTTCAATCAGAACTTTCTGCATAAAATGAATGTGCTTAATTACACAGATCCTTCCGTAGTCCTTAAGGCCAGACCGGGAGCGCCTTTAATCAGGAGAGCCTCTGACAGGATACTGCGTTCCTAAACCGACAGTAGCATTTACTCTTTACAACAGCTCTGGTTTTAACCAAGGGGACAAGAAAAAGCTGTGAGGCTGCGGGGGGGCGGGGGGCGGTTAGCGCCCAGAAGTGTGTGACCCACAGGGCTTTGTGTGCTGCGGAGGTGAAGATGGGAGGTCTGGGGCGCCGGGCTGTGAGCTCGGGGTTCCTGTGGGACGAATGGCTGGGAAGGCTGTCCATTCTGAAGGGCGTGGCACGGCAGATAGAGAATCGTCCCCTAGCCCCTGGGTACTTGTCTTGCGTTCCTGCGCAGGCTCACGAGAGGTGAAGCTACCTGTGTCAGGCTCTGTCACCGGCAAAGGTGAGTGGGGCCAGCTAGTGGGAGCTCCTCCCGGGAACTAGCTGCGTGCAGGGGGTGGGCTCTGCGGAGCAGGGTGACTTGCTGGAGCTGAGCGGACATCTAGTGGAGGGCGGGGGGACTCTCACCTGCTCTCTGCAGCCTCTCTCAGCTCCACCGGCTTCTCCTTCTCTGGGGGGCTCCAGGACACACACCACACCCCCCCCCCACCGTGCCCCTGATAAAGGAGCAGGGAGCAAATGGTTCCAGGCTGCCCTCGGGCAGTGGCCAGCTCCCCCTTGTCTTCCCCTTGGTTCTAAAATTCCCCCGATGCTGAGAATGCCCAAGATGTAAACTCCAGCCCAGGGAGCCTGGGACAGAGTAATGGACTCTGCCGGTGCTTTTGGTGGCCTTCTGAGAAAAGCTGTGTGCTGCAGAGCCTTTGTTGTTGTTGTTTTCTTTTTAAGAGGACTGTCCTGATTCCATGTATTAAAAAAGACAGGAAGACTCGAGACTGCCAGAGGCAAGAGGGTAAACGTGAGCTTCTCAAGACGGGACAGGGGAAGGGGGATCCTGATGGATCAGGAGACAGGAGGGAGATATGGCCCCCGCTTCTCAGGACCTGCTGTTCCCCTCCTGGGGGAGGTGTGGAGGCAGAACCGAGGATGGGATTGCAGAGGACGAAACCATGGGTCGTCAGAGAGGGAGAAAGGGCCAGTGTGTTCTGCACGTTGGGGCCGGGGAGGGACTCAGCCGGTGCAGAGCTTTCCATGGCGGTGACAAAAGGCTGCAGGTGGGCCATGATGCTTTTAAAACACAGGCTTTAGAAGAGTCTGCTCCAGAGCTGCATGGAGAGTGGTGATTGAAAGGATGCTGAGCCCATTTCTTCCTTGTCCAGAGCTAGGTGAGCATGGAGAAGCCATAGAAAGCCACCACACAGGGGCCACTCGGGCAAGGGGAAGCCAGGAGGCAACACGGGGTGGGAAACCCACCTGTCCCTCGCCTCCACCGTTAGAGGTGGAAGTGGAGATTTCGACCTGGGACTTGGAGCTGGTGGGACACGTCTCCAGTGAAGCCAAGGTCACCGCTCAGCCTCTCTTCTGTTCTCCTGCTGCCTCCGGGACACCTAGGGCAAGCTCTTAGGATGGCCCAGCTAGACACGGGAGCGCGGGGAGAGGTCACACTAGCTCTTGGCTCCTGGCAAGTCCTGGTCTCCCTCTCCCCGAGGTTCCCTGGTCTGGCCAGTGGAGGATGTGGCCCCCAGATGGAAGGAAGGTGGAGGTGTCTGCCTTTCCCAGTCCCTACCACTGTTATCCAGGTGAAATTGGGCCGGAAGCCTTCTCCAGGTATGAACCTTGAACAGCCCTGAGAAGGGACTGGGGAGGTTGACTTTCCAGGGAGCCTCGGGCTGCAGCCTGGAGGCTCTAAACCTCCTCCCTCAGAGGCAGTCTCTCCAGGGCCCCGGCCACAGACCCTGCCTGGGCTGGGAGACCCCCGGAGCCCGGCAGGGGTGGCTTCCTCTCTCTCGGGTCAGCTCAGCCCAGCCGCCGCTAAGTAGGAGCCCTCTTAGCACAGCCAAAGCCATGTTCCAGGCCCTCCTTCCCTCCTTTCCTCCATCTATTAATTCACTAGTTAATGTGGTCATCCACTGAGCTCCTGAGAAGTGCCAGCCCGTTCTGGGACTTGGAATACAGTGAGAGACACAAAAGCCCTGTCCTTAAGCTTATGTCTCCAGCGGGGAAGAAAGAGATGTTTGTAAAAAGAAGAAGGGTGAAGATACCACGTTAGGAAGTGAAGAGCTCTGGGGAAGAAACAACAGCAAGAATGGGAAGGTAGAGTGTGCTTGGGGTGCAGGGCTCTGAGGGTTCAGCCTGGGAAGGAGGCAGCGTGGGAGACCCCGGGAGGAGCGGTGCGTCCTGAGGCCGCGGGGAGGCCGGGGGCGGCGGCGGCAGGGGGGGTGTGCTGGGAGTGCGGTGGACGGGAGGGTCAGTGCGTGATGCGGGAGAGGCAGGAGGGGCGGCTCCCCGCAGCTCAGGTCAGCCTTGAAGAGTTGGGACGTGACCCCAAATTGAGCAGCTTTTCTCTTGGAGGCCTTCAGCTGCTGTCTGGGGCGGGGGGAGGGAGATGTGGGCAGGGGGAAAGTAGGGAAGGTGGTGAGAGGCTGTTGCAGGGGTGCAGTCAAGGGGCAGGTGCCCTGGGGTTGGGTGGTGAGAGGCACACGGAGTTTGGGAGGCAACAGCTGATAAGATCTCTTGACAGACGGTTCAGCTTGGGATTGGTGACATTTTGGGTGTGAGAGACATCAAGGACGGGCTGTTCGATTTTTTGGCCTCGGCAGCTAGGTGGATGGTAGCAGCATTTACAGAGAAGGTCGTGAGAGCGTGAGGCGTTTGGGGGCAGAAATTGAGATTTTTGCTTTGAACATGTTCAGTTCGAGATGCTTTTGAGTGGGTCTTCAGCTCAGCGGAGAGGTCAGGCCGAAGAGCAAGTTGAGAGACCCTGGGGTGGGGAGGGCAGGCACTCACCCGGGGGAGGGCAGAGGCAGGGGTGGTGGAGGAGGAGTTCCCGCCACTGTGCAGGGGAACCCCCAGGGGAGACGAGGACCCAGCAGCGGAGACAGGGATGGGATGGCTGGAGTGGAGCGAGGACAGCCAGCCACGCGAAGAGGAGCGCAGGTCACGAACCCGGGCGGGTGGCAGCTTGGTCACTGATGACCTCAGGGCGGTGGCGCCGCAATGGGAGGGGTGAGGAGAGCGGGAGGTGCATGGGGAGACAGCTCTTGCAGGAGATGTGTGAAGGGCGGCAGAGCCAGGGTTGTGGAGGGGGTGCCAGGAGGTCCAGGGAAGAGACTGAAGGTCGGGGGGGGGGCGTACGGTTTCTCCCAGGGGGATGCCTCAAGAGCAGGAACCGAATTCCAGGAACAGAGGTGAAGGAGTTGGCTATAGGCAGGAACAGCGCTGCGGTGGCGGGGGCGGGGGGGGCGGCGGTAGCAGGCAGGGTGGGTGGTGGTTTGGTGTGGGGAAGATGAGGTCGTATTGTCTACACCTACATGCTCTAAGCAGGTCCGGGTCATGGCATCAGCTGAGAGCTGGCGTGGGGAGAGGACAGACTTGAGGGAAGAGAGGAGGGTCCCAGACAGAGGCCATTGGTCCTTGCTGGCTCAGGTCCAGCTGCTTCCTGTCATTGGGGAGCAGCGTATCAGAGTCCAACCCTGGGTCCCGAGAAAGGGGTCGGACCCAGGCTTCACTCGATGCCACCCTCCCCTGCTCTTCATCTAGAACCTCATTCCTAGGCGTCCAGCCCCCCACGTACGAACATGAGGTGGCTCTGTCCCAGGCCTCGTGCTTGAAGCCGGCACCAACACCTCGGAGGGGAGCAGGTGTAGCTGCCCCAGAACTGCAGGGGGGCCTGTTGCGGGGGAGGTGCGTGGACCCCGAGCGTCTCTCTGGGCCGCCTTCGTGCTGGGGGCAGGCGAGGACTCTTGCGGCTCACACCTGGTGGGCCCCCAGCAGCCATCCCAAGCTGTTCTTTCCCACATGGCTTTTGAAAACTCACAGGTCAAAGGTCAAATGAAGTGGGGAGCCCACTGAGGTGCCCTGTGTGAACGGAGAGGCTGCTCAGTACCTCTTCACGCCAGTCCTGTTTCGATTGCCTTTTCTGCCCCCGTCTAGACTTAGCACTTCCTTTCCTGGAGAGTGAAAATCCTCAGCTGATGGGAGGCTCTGGAGGCAGAGGATGGGGGTGCAGGGAGAGTCTCCAGCCCCACCCTCAATCTGTGTCACCTTCGGCCATGGTGTTTCACGTCACTCTGCTCGACCTAGTGCTCTCACCGGCCAAGTGGGATCATAATCGGACTTCACAGTGTTGAGAAGATCCCGGCTCGGTCCTTGGCCCTGCTGACGTTCAAGTCGTCCTTGGCGACTTGAATGTCTCCCATGTGCAGACGCCGTCCCGGACCCTGCAGGCTCAGCAGGGATGGGAGCCTGGGATGTGGAGGCACGCCTGGCATGTGGGGAGTCTCACTGGTGCCTAAGAAAGTTCTCCTGGCCCTGCCCTCAGCCTCTCCTTGCTCTTTCTCCAGGGTTTAACTCCCTCGTGGGCAGCGTGATGGGCTTCTCCATTCTTCTGAGTGCGGAGGTGTTCAAACATAACGCGGCGGTCTGGTACCTGGACGGCAGCATAGGTGTGCTGATCGGCCTCACCATATTTGCCTACGGGGTCAAGTAAGTTCTTTTGTCCTTGCTCCTCCAGGGGCCACGAATGCTCCATTTGCCACTCCTGACCGTCACACTTTGCCCCTGTGACCCCTCGGAGCCCGGGTGAGGCCAGGGGACTAGAAACGCCCCCAGGAGGGGCCCGGTGTTTTTGAGGTGGGCAGTATTTTACTCTGTGGTCTTCCTTTTGTGCGTGAAGCTTTGTGCCCCTTCCTCTCTAGCGAGGATCATGATGACACACTGGGGAGGCACGTTTGTGTGGTGTCCTCATAGGTCAAGCTCCTCCTGCCACCTGGGATGCTCCAGCAGGGCACGGCCCAGCAGCACCACTCCGCCAGACCCCACTTAGAGAATTTTCTCCCAAAGGGACGAGTCACTGCAGAAGGGTCACACCTGAGGATAAACCCAGCCTGAGTCCTCTCATTGAAGAAGCACTGTGCAGACATCACTGACTCTGCTCCAGCATCCAGGCTGGGGTCGGCCTTCCAGAGAGCCCTTTTTGAAAGGCACTGAGTTTTTTAATTGTTAAAGCGCTCCCTGCCTCCCAAGAGGATAGCTATAGTAAGAAAGATGGACAATCAGGGGTGGCCAGGATGGGGGGAAAGGAGAACCCTCATACGTTGCTGGTGGGAATGTACAATGGGACAGCTGCTGTGGAGACCCCTGAGTAGTTCCTCACTGTGTTCGATGTTGGGAGTTCCCACTTGACCCAGCAGGTGTCACTCCTTTGGTGTCTACTCCGGAGAAATGAAAACACACATCCACATAATGACTCATGCACGAGTGATCACAGCAACCTTACTGATGGTAGGCAAAAGTCTGTTAAATTGATGAATGGAACAATGTAATAGAGCCGTAGAGTATTCCTCAGGCTTAAGAAGAATGAAGTATTGCCTCAGGACACAATGTGGATGAACCTCGAAAAACACGGTACCAAATGAAAGCAGCAAGTCAGAAAAGACTACATGTTAGGTGATTCCATATAGAGAAAATATCCAGAAGAGGCCAAAGCAGAGAATAAAAGTAGATCAGCAGGTTGCAGGGGAGGAGGGGAAATGACTGCAGGTGGCCAAGGGGTATCTTTTTGGGGTGACAGATTGTTCTGGAATTAGGTGGTGGTTGTGGTTTGTACGACCTATGAATATACTAAAACGCACTACATTGTTTTTTAAAAGGTTGAATTTTATGGTATATAAATGGCAGTTTTTAAAAAGCCTTCTGCTTGCTTCCCCAAGCGCTCAAGCCCCAGGGCTGTGGGGGGTCCACGTGGGGGTGACTTGTGTTTCCTTCCTGCAGACTCCTCATCGACATGGTGCCCAGGGTGAGGCAGACCCGCCACTACGAGATGTTTGAGTGACAGTGGCCAGTGGGGCCCGAGCCGGCTGCTGTGCCTCCGCACGAACACCGTCAGGACCACGAGGTTTCCACACAGGCAGATGGTGCCAATATTTCACTGAACATCCAATTTCTTTTTTGGCAAGTTTGTGTTCACGGGAACAAGGTCTGCCCGGCAGGTCAGTCTGCACTCTTCCCCCCGTCAACTGTGTTAGGACAATGCACACAGGCGTGAGGACAGGTTTCCCCACCTCCAGCGAGAACTGACCTTTTCTGTTTTCTGCAGTAAAAAAGGTTCTTGTGGGTAAGATAAGATCTCTCCTTGGCAGAAAGTTCCTCTGTGGTGCTCTAAGCCTGAAATGGATAGCAACTGACCAGACCCACCTCCTCTGGACCCCCGGTGGCCCCCGCCACCTCCCGTTCCAGAGTCTCTTATCTCCTGGCAGATTTTAAGGGAAGACCGTACCTTTTGTCCCTCGCCCCTTGACATGCCCAGAACCATCAGTACAGATCACTTCCTGATTTCTATCAAGGTATTTCATTAGTTTCATACTGTTTTACTAATCCTGACTCTAAACAGATTTGTCCAAAAGGAGACCATTCTATTTTTAAAGTACTTAGTGACACACGTATGAGCTTTGCATGGTTGAACTGAGCACATGACCATTTCTTGTACATTCAGAAGCTGAACCTACATGTAAAAACAGGATCCATTTTTGAGAGCTGTGAAACGAGTTTATTTGTAATAAATAATTATATAATCTATCCATATGTGCATAGATCTCTATGCTGTGTGAAGTGGTAATGGTACGTCCCAGTCTGCTAGAGCTGGCTTGCCCCTCTGTAAGGAACGAGATGTTCCCTGTTTCTGTAACGTTAGGTATAGATTCTGTACAAGTGTCCCCCCAGCACACAACATTCTGTGCCTCTGGGACTGCTGCTCGTCCAGGCGACGGTGTCCGACCAATAAAGACCTTCACCTGTTTTGTATGGTATGGGGAGGTTATCTTGCGCGTTCTCACTGTCCTGGACAGGTTTTCTGTTGTGTATGAAGGATGCCGTGGATGGGGTCCCTTGGGCCCGGGGGGTGCTGAGTGGGGAGACCCTGAAGGACTGTCCTGATGGGCACTGCAGGCCCTGCGAGGGAGGGGGGCGGGCTGCACATTCATTTGGTGGTGCTTGGGACTGCAGGATGGTGCTCCCCGGGCCTTGCCCCTGCCTTCCATGCCCCCGCTCCTAGGGGGCTGTCTTTGGCTCGCTGAGGGGAGGTGGTTCATCTCTGACCTTGAGTCAATCTGACGCGTCCCGCGTGGCTTCCTCGGACAGCATTTTGAGGAGTGTTGCATGGTAATGTTAATAGGTCACATGGAAAAAAGGGTTGACTCTATGAGCCAGTCTGGGAAATGCAAGAGTCGATATATTTCTTTTCTGTGTCTAGCACACGTTGTGGAAACTTTGGGAGGGGAAGCTATGATGTAGTGCCCCCCACCCCCCCCTCCACAAACGTAAGCACTCCAGTTTTTTCTGGCACTTTGTGGGACGTGTGTCCCACAGATGCATGATGGGAACTGCATGGTGTCTGCATTCCAGGCAGTAGCCAGGAGTTCTGCTGGTTTCCAAGAGGCTGGCCATCGCTCTCCAGCATTCTCAGACAAGCCCTTGGGGTGGGCATGGACGTGACCTTCCTTCTTTCCAGGGCATCTCCCTGCAACCCCCCCCTTCCCCGCAAAAAAAAAGCCTACCAGTCCTCTTTCCAATTCTGTTCCCATGTAGGTGAATGCAGGACACGGGGAGTGTTCTGGAATGAGTATCGGTGGATGCCACATAAGGGAAGGACCACTCGAGAGTAAAACCTTTCCCTCCCCACTCCGGACACGTACCTTCTCATCAGCGTTTCTCCGCAGGGGGTCTGCGAATGGTGACCTGTCATCAGTGGGCGCCGGCACTGGGGGATGCCGCTGGGTTTGTTCTGTAGGTGACCCTGCACCCATCCCACACCCCCAAAAACAACTGCCACCTGTCACACAACAAAAGTTTATTGAAAAATAAAGTTCTCCCTAGTTTTCTCTACAACATTGGAAAACAAAGCAGTGTTCTCTATGCAGGTACAGTACGTTTGGACAGCGACACCTTATTTGCAGAATCCTGCGCTACGTGACCCCGGAAGTGAACAGTAGAAAACGGTTGTACCAGGAGCTGTCTGAAGACACACACGCAAACGGCCATTAGCGTAAGGACATCAAGGCTGTGACAGCAACTACAGTAGGAAGGATGGCGCCCTCTCCTTTGGCGTCCCGGGAACACCTGGACATGACAGCGAGCAAAATGCTTCCCAGGTCTGCTCCTCCTCGGCTTTGGCGGAGGTGGCGGGCCACGCTATGGTCCCGTCCGTCCTGCTGTTCCAGCAAGGCTGGGACACCTACAGGCCTGCGGCACTGCCCACCTGTCTGAGCACCTGCCCCCGTCCCCCGACATGCCGCCCCCCCCACCACAGGAGCACACGGCTGCCCTCTACCATGCCTCACCAGCTGCCAGGGGGGTCCCCAAGGCGCCACAGAATCAGGGATTAGAGGGAACGATGCTTTGAAGAAGGCGAGTTCCAATCTTACACCCACAAACATATAAAACTGCTAATCGATTCCACTAGAGAATTCAGACTCCAGCAAATTCCTCCATATTCCCAACGGCAGTCTATCCAGAATAGTGGCAAGATAGAAGATAAAACTCTAAAACAGGGAAGAAAAAGGCTAAAACCCCAATAAAACAAAACGCAAACTGATATTTAGGTGATTTGGGAAAACATCACTGAGCAGCCTCTTGGGAGTAGTTCTGAAGAAACTCTGTACCCACCCCCCGCCAACCCCTGTGCCCACCATAGCTCCACCTGAGTGGTCAGATAGTCTTGGGGTCCCCAGGCTAGCCAAGCCAGCCTGGGGGAGAGGGGGTCTTTTAGGGGAATGGCACCAAAACAAACCTGTGACCGCTAACCAGCCCAGGGTCTGATCCCTGTGGGTTGGAGTGTGGAGGGGCCGGCCCCGGCCAGCAGGGAACAGCAAAGGGACTTCTTGGGGGAATGACAAAGTTCAACTGGCCATTCCCTTCTCCTTAAACAAAACACAAAGTCTTTATTATTTCATTTCAGAGGAATATAGTTAACTTTGATTTAAGGGGTACAGTCTGAGAACTTATTTTAATTCTAGCTCAAAAAGCTCTACAAAGAAGAACCCTAGCATGGTCCAGAAGACATCAGTGGGGTGAGGTCCAGCATGTGGGTCACCCTTTTCATCTCCAGTTTACACATTTTTACAGCCTAGTTCCATCTGGGGCTGAAGTCAGGCATATTTGCAAATCAGTCAGTGCATTCAGGGATACAGTAACATTTCGACCAGCAGGATGGGCATGGGACTTGGACATCCTAAACCAGAAATTCCTACATTCCATCAACTTGGAGGAATATTTTCATGGAGGTATTACTTAGCTCTTTATTTCTCAAATTTTATGAAATGCTAATAACAATATTTAACATTTACGAGGGCTTACTATGTGCCAGACACGGCTAAACACTGAATCCTCACAAAAACCTTAAGTGCTAAGAAAAGCTAGGGTAATTTTTTTCTGCATCTGAGACTATACAACTAATTTGGCCTTTTGCTAAAAAACGTAAGTTTCCAGTTTTTGCTGAAGCCAACAGGAATGAAAGAACTCACCCTCAGCTTTAGGAAATCCCCACCTCACTAAAGAATCTACTTCTGTCCATCCAGCTCTTCCCACGGAGATGCTCTGCAGCCCTACAGGGATGGATGGGATTAGAACGAAGCCAATGTGGAAATTAAAATACTTTAAAATAAATAAAGTAATCCAGGCTTGGGATGGTAACACAACCGAGCCTGTCGTTAACAAAATATATTTTTTTAAATCAAGGCTTTTGGGGGCATGAGAAAGGGTGGTACTTGTCCCAATTATATACACAGTCTAGGTAAATGGGATGGCCTGCTTTGGTCTCAAAAGCACAAACCCACCTGTACACAGCATACAGTTTTATCACCTTTACTAAAATAAACCCCGTGTTCCCTAAGGAAACAACAGGGGTGCATAGTCTTTCCCCTTTATGATAGATCAAGTGTTCTGAAGACTGGTCCTGTGCCCCAGCCACACCTCACCGGGTGCCTGAGCTGCGGGGGGGCACAGGCCTGTTGGCATGTTGGCGACCAGCAGTCCTCACATCCGAAGACATGGAGCAGCCTGGGAGGAAGCCAGCCCTTCTCTTGGGGGTTCTCATGGCCTCATGGGGGTGCAGGAGCACATATGCTGTGGCCTAGGGGGCTGGGAGGGTATTTCTGGTGCCCAGCCTGAGCATCCTCGGTGACACAAGGGTGTGTCCTACCTTCAAGCTGGAGGGATCTGTGATCTTCCTTAAATGGTACCCAGATTCTAAAAACCAACCCCAAAGAAAAGTGAAAAGGCACATCAGAGAAACAATAAATATCAAAGAAACACTCTTAGTATTTCAAAACATGGAGCAATCACACACACAAAAAGCAAACTAAAGCAGTGACGAAAACTCAATCCAGGCAAAAATGCAAAAAAGTGTCTCCATTTGTACATGTGCAAATCAAATTACATATATGAAATAAAGGTTTTTACTGGCATTAAAAGAAGTGTGCTTCCCCTTTTGGGAGTTTTCACTCCTGAAAGAGTTTATGGTTCAAAGGAAAGCTTTCTCTCTTTTAATAAATTAGGTACATTTCCCTCATGTTTAAGAATTTAGGATCACGGGGGTGGGGGGGGAGGGCCAAATTTTACTAAAGGAAAAGGAAATGGACAAAAACTTACAGACAGGCAAGGTATGCTTATGACACAAGACGACACAGATCCTGACTTAGGATCTCTGTCCCTGTGTAAATCAGCAATTAAAAAAACTGGCTTAGGATTCTGCTCAGATTGGCAGTAGCAAAACCACCAAAGGCTCCCAGCTACGCTCTGAGAGGCACAGCCCTCTCCCAGGGCAGCCAGCAACTGTCCCCTTCCACACAGGGCAGATGGAGGCCCCCTCCCCAATTTCCTCTTGGGGGTGGGGGGCACTGATCAGATGTGGGCTATGGTGGTGGTGGCCTGGGGGCCGCTATACATTCGGGTGTCACTGCCTCTGCTCATAATGCCCTGGACACCTGGAGTGCGGGTTTGCCCCAGAAGCAGCCGCTACACCTGTGGAACTCGGGTCCTTCTGGCCACTACCGGACTGCGGGGGGGCGCCACCGGGATCTTCAAGGGCAGGCAAGTGCTCTGCGGGACTGCTAGACACGAGTCCAGATGGAGAAGAGAGGAACCGGGAAGCGGAGAGGCCCTGAGCTCAGCAAACAGGACAGCCACAAATCATCCCTGTGGCTCCTGGAACACCAGGCCGGCGCAGCATCTTTCTCGGAACCGCGCTTTCCAGCTTCCTTGCTATCTGAGTTCCAAGGCTTATTGAAACAACTCTGCAAAATGGGTTAATTGGGCCAAGCTAGAGAAATCCGGTCTCAGCCCGCAGGCTCCCCCTGCTGGCCGAATGCCTGCATGACATCCTCTCCTCTGGAAGCTCCCGCAAGAGCCCAGGAGAGGGCGGCCCTGGCCCAGGAATTGCAGCCCTGGGAGCTCAGGGGAATTCCCACAATCTAGGGAGAAACCCAGAGGCCCACTCATAGGGAAAAGCAGTTCCTAACAACACGGAAGGCAGTTTCTCCTGCAGCAGGAATTGCCCTTGCGATACCTGGAGGAACATTCATATAGACACACACACACACACACCCCCTCATCGCCAAGATCCCACTGCACTTCTATGCTGGGCCCAGGCAGAGGGTGCTCTCAGCTAGTTCTTGAGGGGCCCCTGCGCCCACGCTCAGGTCTCCCTATCAGAACTCTCCCTGTCACATGTGCTCACGGGCCACCTGAAGGGTGGGGGAGACCCTAACTGCTGCTCCTCACTCCCTTCACTCTCTGGGATTAGAAGTGAAATTGAGCCCCACTGGGAGTCTAAGAAAAAACAAAAAGGCTGGCTGTGCATCTATCTGATCCTACTGACGCACCAGGGAAGAATGGAGAAGCGGGCACCATCTAACTCCCCATACCTAAAGGCTCCACAGGCCCTGTGGTCCGCATGAGGCAGGATTCTGATTTAGTTCCCTTCCTGAAGGCCCACCCAGCCATGAGCCCTGCTGAACTGTTCTGCTGGGCCGAGGTTGGGCTGGCTGTCCCGGAGGGCAGCCAGGGCGCTGGGAAGCACAGAGCTGCGGGGGGGGGGGGGAGCATGGTGCTAGGTGGCCAAGGCACTCAAAACCACCAGCGAGGGCTGGGTGGGTCACACCACAGCTCATGACTGGCATGTTCTGCAGGAAGGAGAAAAGAGCTCACTGTCACCAGCCTGGACTGCCAGGGGCTTCACAGCACACACACACACTTCTAGCCAGGGCACTGAAGCAGGGCCGGGTGGCGGTGGGGAGCTCCCACCACGGCACAGACTGGGAACTCCAGGGTTAGCGGGGGCATCCAGTGAGTCTGACTGGGCCAAACTGCCAACTCGGAATACCCCCCTCAGAATATTTGAGCCTCGAGTAAGAGCCAGCATCAGACTCCAATCCTGTGCAAGACACACACCTACACACCCACACCCACAGGTAATCGGCCAGGACCACATACCACGTTCATCCTCGCCTGCCCCTGCTCCCCCCTGGCAACATCAGGGCCACTAAGATGGGACTTTGGTGACATCAGACATGAGAAGGAATAGAACACAAGCCCACCTGCCTGGAGCACAGCTCTGGTTCTTAGGGGCCAGCTTCGTGCCTGTCCACACCCCAGCTCGGATAACCCTTTTCAGGAGTAAACAAGCATGACCCATCTTTCTACTTTCCTCCTTCCACTGGCATTGGAGGGAGGGTGGATTTACTACAAACCAGCAAATGTCAATTCCCCAATCCTGCATTTCTTTTCTAAAGCACTCATCAGAAATTAGGGTCAAGATGTGTGTGTGTGTGTGCGTGCGTGCGATAGGGGGCGGGGGGGAGGGTCGAGGAAAGGAGCTCTCACTGCAAAGTGGCCCCATCTTTGGTCCCTGGCTGGGCTCTCAGGACAACACCACAGGCATGTCCCCCCACGCCCAGGAGGTGCCTGTCCTCTAGCTGCCATCTGTCAAGCACACATAAGATTTTCTTGTGTTCTGCCACCATCCACTTTGAGGAGCTGGGTCCCCGCGGCTGCCCTCAAGCGAGCCACCGGCCCCACAGTGCACCGTCTCCCTCCTGCTTCCTTCCAGAAGGAGACAGGAGTAATAATACAGTGAGGGTGGACAGTAAACAGTGGGAAATCAGAGAAGCAAGAAGTGTGATCAATCCCTCTGGGCCCTCCCCTGTTCCCCCCTCCCTCCCTCCCAAATAAATAAGTTAATGGGTTTAGGAATGTTCCCGTAGAAAGTTCTTTCTGACAAGCTCCATTCCTCCTCTGGTTCTGTTTTAAATGAATCTTGAGACTCTTCTTTCTACCTTGGGGCGGCTGCAGTGACACAGTCTCCTCAAGAAATTAAAACGAAGTTGTGCCAGGGAGAAGCCAGGAGGAGCAATACCAAATCGAAACCTTCCAACATCAAGTTCTGGCTCTGGCGAGAGTCCCTGACTGACGTGATGTGACGTCTGCCCCCTGGCCCTGTCCCAACGGGGTTGGAGCCACCGTTAGTCCCACAGAGTGAGTGTGGGGCCAGGCCAGGGGCTGCTATAGACAGTCTTTACAGAGAGCCACCTGGCCCTTGATGAAGTCCCTGCAGGGGCAGATCCTCTGGTGCCGGGGGTGGGCGCCCGCACAGCTGAACAGCAGGAGGTCACCTTGAAACACACAGTGCCTGTTCTTGGGGTCGAAGGAGGGCACCAGGATGTCCTTGGCCAGCTCTGAGCTTTGGCAGATCACCTCGTACCTGAAGGGGAAGACAAAGGCACGAGGGTTGGAGAGGCAGGGACAGTCCTTGTCACTGGCTCCTTGGGCCCCCCTCCTGAGGTGTGGGGCGCACGTACGGTTCACCTGTCGTAAAAAGGAAACGGCAGCCACCCTCTGACCTAGCAATTCCCCACCACCAGGAATCCGGGCTCGAGAAAGGTGTGTGTGTTGGGGAATGTGTGTTCGAGGCTGCCTACAGAAGCACTGTCTGTAAGGGAGAAAAAAATGGCAATAATCTGAATACTCACCAAGTGGGGAAGGGCTGAATAGTTTGTAGCACATCTGTGCTTTCGGAGGTCTCTGCAGCCCTTGAGAGAGCATGAGGCAGAAATGCAAGAACCAGCGCGGAGAGCTGTCCTTGAGGAAGGCAAGTAGCAGAAGGAGACGCAGAGCGGGATCGGTCTGCGTGTGTGTGCGCTTCAGGACTCGAGAGGGCTACACCCTACAGCCTTAACGGCTACTTCGGAGGAGCGAGAACGGGGGCAAACGCGTATGTTATTTAAATATTTTGAAAAACTGTTTAATATTTTTATTGGGTGGTTTAAAAGGATTCATGTGACATGGCCTTAGTCTCCGGCTGGAGAGCCATCAGATGGGTCTCCTGGCGGGGGCGGGGGGGTCCCGGGCCATCACTTCCCTGGACCTTGGCAGTCACCTCGGTCGGTGGCCATAGTAGGCTCCCTCCTGCCCCTTGCCTGATAGGCAAGTGCTTGAGGCTTCGGGACATGCTGGGCAGGACTGCAAACTAGAGCTCCGGCTCCTCCACCGTCTTCGCCCCACGGCTAAGACCCAAGCCCTTGTGGCTTTGCCTCCTCAGGCTGGGGCCACTGCCTTCAGGGCCAGGGGGAGCCAACAGTGCCGGCCTGTATCTCCTCTATCTCAGAGAAGAGCCGTGTCCTTTCTCCTCTGGCCTGGGGTGCGCTGGGCCCAGCCACCCTGTGGCCCCGAGAGCAAGGAGGCCTCAGCAGCTGTCTAGCACAGAGTCCCAACGTGCCAGCCGGGCACCGGTTCAGAGAAGAGGGTGTGAGGGGGGCCAGGTGGCCCTGAGCTGCGGTCCTGACTTCATCTCCATGAGCCTCTCTTTGCTTCAGTTTCCTCTTCCGTAGAGTGGGGACAAATAAGCCTTAACTCACGGGGGAGCTGTGGAAATTAGTGCTTACAGAGCCCTTGGCCAAGTGTAGCTCTGAGTAAGTATTCGATGAACAGTAACTATCACCATTGCTACAGCTGTTGTCATCGTCATCACAGTCAGCCTGGCCCGGCGTCCTGTGTCCACGGGACAGGCCCTGCCACCTCCCTCCCCTGCCCTGTGCTGCGGATGCACACACATGCCAACCAGCTCCACTTTACTTTGTGCACAGAAATCTGCATTCTTGCTGACAGGGTGGGGACCCCGAGGGGAACTCAAGGTCTCCTGCTGCCTCTGGGACACTTCCAAACGCTGGGGCAGGGGGAAGCGTCCTCCTTCCTGGTTCTCCTGCCCCCTTTTGTCTTCCTCCAGCCAACGAGCCGCCTGGCCCGCGCCTGCCCTTGCCAACAGGAACTGGGCAATTCCCAGCACATCCGCTGGGGCTCCTCTGAGCCTGCCTGCCTGGCTCCTGGTGCTCGGGGGGTGGGGGGGGCAGCACCCCCTTGTAGGCTGCTCCTGCAGTCACCAGAGAGTTCTGCGACCTTTCTAAACGCCATAACGCCTCTGGTCGAGGTGTGCCGGCTGGGAGACATATAGCATGACCGTGAAGGTCATGGACCATGAAAACAAGGGCAGGAAGTGCCGATTTATGGATTTCCTAAAAAAAAGAGTGAGTCAGAGATTTGGGGCTACCAGGTCCTCCGCAGGATACCCCCACTGGCCTACCCCCAGAAAGGGTTCTCCAGAACTCAGCTGTGCATTACAGGTTTCCATATAGAACAGAGCTTTAGAATACAGAGTTACGCTTAGGTTATTTCTTTGCTTAGGTGACTTAGAGCAGCTCCTATTCTTAACTCAAGCCAGCTCCCTCGTACACTGCTGCTAACCAGGGGTTGTGGAGAGCTCTCCAACTCTCAGACCCCATGGCGGGGTCTAACTGACAGGAGCCATGAAGAAACCCTCCTGCTCCTGCCCCTGGTCACCCAGCTCAGATCCCAGGCACGTGCTCCTGGGAGTGTGCACACGTGTGCACGTGTCCGTGAACACATCTCAACAGCAGCCGCCACGGAAGAAGCCTGCCCAGGGATGATGTCCGGAGACCTCCCACAAAGAGCTCAGGTAGCAGGTAGTCCCCAGCACGACAAGTGATCTGTCATGGGGCAGCTCCCCGAAGGTTCAGGTGACAGGGGGCTAGGGGCACATATGGCTCCAGACACTTGTGGAGGCCATCCAACCACCAGGCGCCCCCCCCACCCCCCCCCGGGAGCGCTCCCTTTGATGAGTGCGCAGGTCCCTGTCCTCAGCCCTGGGCAGTCAGAGAGAGCACTCCACTGTCCTCGGGCCAAAGTCAGAGAGGCGAGGTGATGTTCACCAAATGCTGGAGTGCATCTGGAAGCCAGCCTCCTCACTCCCCACTAGTGGATCCCTTGCCTTTTCAGAGCCTGTACGTTGTTGCTTCTGCTTCCCTGTTCTGTGATATCTGTCTCTCTCACACATACATGGACACATACATACTCACTCCGCCGCACATACTCTCTCACTCCCGCTGAGAGACCCCTAGCACACGGCTGCTTCCTTTCTGTAGGGCCCCATGGTGCTGACCTCTCCCCAGCCGGCCTCTTACAGGATGGGAGGGGGCTTCTGAGGCCCACTGGCCCTTGGTTTACATTATAGCTCTTGACCAAGAATAACAAGGCGAAGCCTCACCTTCCCATGGGGCTGCTTACGTCTTGAGAGGATAGAAACAACTCATCCTTCCCGACAGACAGACCGACCCAGGATGAAGGGATGCGAGCAGGACCCCACCTACTGGTCTTATTCCTCCCCTCTTCCCTGCCCCTGAGCTCCTCCCCGCCCCCTCAGCCCCTGCCCTGCTTATTCCAACCCTGACTCCACCAAGTCCCCCAAACTCACTCATGACTTCTCTGACTCAGGTGCCAGAGTGCTCGCGGTCTAGACTTCACGGTTTAGAACTGCCCATCTTCAAAAAGAAACGCCAGACTCAATCATTTAACATTTTAGAAGCTGTAACTTGAAAAGGTAGCAGAATTACAAATAAGGTGTCACATGAACACATGTTCCTACTTATGGAGCCAAGGTCCTCCCTACGGGGCCACCCCAGCTTGGACTCTGGCTTTTCCCAGGGCCTCTGCCTCTGGAACCCCACCCCCTGGTCTGTGGCAGCACACCTGAATCATGAATGTTCTGTGCATGAGAGTTTGTGGGCACCTCTCCAGCACTTACACCATGCCCTGCATGAACGGGAACTCCACGACCAGCTGCCTGATTGCCCCTGATCTGAGATGACAGCATAGGACACTCCAAAGGGCCTGATCTATGTGATATAAATGCCGACTACACAGTGGGGATAGACTGTTAGTTCTTCAATGGTTCTTCAAGGTCATGGGCACCCAAAGACTAAAAGGAGCTTAAGCTGAGAACCAGGCTCCCAGGTGGAAAAGAAGAAGTAGCACGGGCCTGTAGGAGCCACTCATTTCGCTAACTGGCCATGAATATGGATGAGCCAGGACTGCCTCATACTGAGGAGGCACTCAATAGACCACCAGATAGCTGGGGCTTTACCACATTATCGGTATTTACAAATGCAGGAACAAGGTATTCAACAGGGCTCTTACATTCAGGGAATTAATTTCAGACAGCTTTATTACAGAATTAGCATTCATTGCCACCTCTTTGGGAGAAAACCCACATAGCTACCGTGGGGTTTGGGAGAGGGTTGTGAAGCAATCCCAGGGCACAGGGTCTGGGCCACGGGACAGCCCCATGAGGCCTTCTGCCCTCATGGGCTCTGTAGGGTATGAGGAGGTGGACAGGGAGGCTGGGGGAGGGGACTGGCTTTTCTGGTCTCAGCCTGGCAGCCTCAAGCCTGCTCCACGGCCCAAGGCTCTCTGGATGAAGGGGTCGTTCTTCTCTGTCTTGGGCACCAGCTGCACATTAGCTCATCATCACACGGGCTGCCCCCATCTTACAGGGGAGAAAATGGATGCAACAGAGGACACTAACCCACTGGCTCCCCTTTCTGTCCCTCCACTGGACCTGCACCTTTGCTCCAGAGACAGGCCGGCTGTGTGGGGGCCCTGTGCCGTCCGAGCCAGGCCCTGATCATCGGATCCGGGCAGGAGCCCTGACTTGTGCCTGGCTGGGAAGGAGGGCCAGGCTGTAGAGGAGTCCCAGTCGGCTTCCATTCCCGGGACGCAGCTTCTCATGTGTCCTCTCCTCCAGAGGTGGAGACGGGGACTGCACAGAGACAGCTCTGTGTGCACTGTCCCTAGTCTACCCCCAGCGAATCCAGACTTCCAGATAAACAGAGAGAGAGAGATATTCAGGGTTCTCAAAAAGCTACCTTGCTACAGAAGTTGTCTGCCAAAGGAGCCAGTAGGAAGCCCCTCCCAGGACCCCAGAATTCAGGATACGTGCTGTGGGGACAGAAGCTTCTGGTACCATCTTTCCCTTACATATCAGACCACCACCCCTTCTCACAAAGTTTCACGGGTGATGGAGGAGGGCGCCACACTGACTCTCTTCTGGCCTTTGATAGTGGAATCAGGGTGGCCTCTGAGCTCGGTCTTCACATAAAAAGAATGGGAAAAACCAGCATTCTCTACACCCCTACTCAGGGAAGCTCTCCCGCAGGCAAGATGCGAGAGGCCACGCTCTGTAAGAAGGGTTTTATACCATGCTTGAGAAGAAGAAGATATAGGACGAGGCCAGCTCCGCGCTCTGGGCATGGATGACCCCAGAGGCCAACCGTGTAACAGGGCATGAAGCCTGAACGGGAGAGGGGCAACCCACGAGCAGCGAGCACACTGCATTTCTTAAATCTCGTCAGGACTGAACAGTAGCACTGCTCTGCTGAATATCTAGGGTTGGGACAGCACATCTCTTAACCAGAGCTATTCAGGGGGGTGGGGCTCGGTAATTAAGTCAGAGGAGGCCCAGGGTGGGTGTAATAAAAACGGGGAGCACAGACTTAGCACTGACAGGGTTCACGAGTCAGAGGCCAGAGGAAACCTCGCGTAGAAATTTGGGGTCTGCCAATGCCAAGGGAAGCGCACGGCAGCGCTACAAGTCATGCAGGCATGAGGGGAAGCCCTCAAGCCATCCCGAAGACCTGGCTTCTGCCAGGGGAGCCCAGGGGTGGGGCCCCCCAGGCTTGTGCTTCTATGCCCATCTCCACTCCCACAGTTCCTGGGTATGACATGAACAAACCAAACCCTTCCCACCATCTCCGATCCCCAAAATGGCCTTATTTCTGCAAATATAACACCCCCGTTCGAATTCTAAATCTATCAGCATGCCAGAGTGATCTCATCCACCTAACAACCAAACTGCTGGTCTAACTTGCTGGGGGAGTGGGGCAGTGGAGGGGAGGGACCATGCCGCAACCTGCTCCCCAGGCCTTGTCCGTCTCAGCCCAGTTCTGACCCAGAGGTATGCTGGAGGCTGGGCCGGCCCTCCCGACCCCCAGCACTTACTTGAGCATGTCTTTGTCCTTGTTGAGGTGCTGGAAGAAAGAAGGCTCACAGATGAGCTGGTTCTCCTGGCACACCTGCTTGCAGGACTGGCCGGGCTCAGCCAGCTTCACCTGCAGGGCGCTGAGGGGCGGCCACATCACTTGCCCGTGGCAGAAGTCCTACAATGACAAGGAAGCCATCAGTCAAGGGAGCAGGGACTCAGGCGGGGATCCCTGGTCTGCCCAGTGGCCCAGACAAGGTGAGGCAGCCCACGGCGAGAGGGGTGAAGGCCAGGATGTGGGAGCCGGACAGGCTTGGTGGGAACTGGGCTCCTCTGGAACGTGTCCTTCGGCCAGGTCTTCGCCTCTCTCTGCCCAGCGGCTGCCTCGTCCACAACAGGGGGACGACAGTATCGTCCACACAGGGCTTGAGGATGACAGTAACATGTGTATAGCACCATGTCTGCCAGAAATGGTGGCTGTTCGTTACCGGCACCTTCAGTCTCTCTATCTGAAGCCTCCACCCCCGAAGGTCCATCTCCTGGCCCACCTTCCCCGGCCGTTCTATCCTTTGCTCTAATTCCGAAGGCTTTTTCAGCATCTACCTAATGTGGCAGTTACCCAGCAGGACACTGTTTGGCGAGTGCTAGTTTTGACTTCATAAAATGGAGGAGTCCACGGGCACCGCAGATGGAGCCCACCGTGGGGCCGGGGCCTTGGTGGGGGCTCAGGGCTCGGGAGTTGAAAACAGTTGTAACTGCACGAATTCAACAGCTATGGAAACAGCCCGCGGACGTGTGATAGGAAGTGAAATAACCTGGCAGAGAGAGGTGCCCACAGCCCAGCAGCTGTGGGGGTGCCTAGAATGGGGCAGGGCTAGTCACTTCCTGGATCTAGAGGGAGCGCAGGAAGCTAGCACATCCAAGGAAGACCCGGGGTGGGCAGAGGGGCATGATGTGGGTGGGCCAGGAAGCCGCCTGTGTGGCTCAGCCAACAGGCAGCCCAGGTGATGAGCACACAGACCCAGTGGGGCTGGAGAAAGGGCCGATGAGGAGCAGGGAGCTCTCCAACCTGCAACCCCAGGCTTTCACACTCTGGCTGTACGCTGAGCAGGTACCAGCAGTGGGAACTCATGCGCTTACACACTGATCTGGAATCCTAGCCAGCTTCCAGAGTCGCTGGGCTGCCCAAGCTGCAAAAGGTGCTGTCTGTGTGGGGGACCTGGAGAGCCAGGCCTGCTTCACTGTTTTGGGGGCGGGCGAGTCCTCAAGAGTGCTAAGAGCTGTTCAGGATCCCGGGCTCTGATTTCCACTGGTAGGAATTCACCCTACAGACATATGGGAACACAGAGGGTCCAAAGAAACCCACACAGGACATCACAGCAGCATTGTTAGAGGAGATGCAAGAGATCTGAAATAATCTAAAAGACGTCTGAAATAATCCGAAATATTTCACTAACTGTTTAAACACAAACAATACTCAAAATGTAACAGATTTCCATATGCTGACATGGAAACCTCTTCAGGACATCCTGAGGGCTGAAAGCAGCAGAGTGAAGGATGCTGCAGAGTGCATTTCCATTTATGTCAAGCACAGAGGGAGAAGCTGGAAAGGTGCTTACGAACGTGCATATGCTCCTACAAGAATCTATCTGGTTGGCACGGGGGCCACTGAGAAGGGAACGAAGGAACATGGTCTGGAATAGTAAAGAAATTCAATTTCCAATCAATGTCCTTCTGAAATAGTTTTTCTCATGTTTCCTTTCCTTGCTTTGTGCAGATGAGGAGCGTATTTGTAATCTCAGGGCCCTGGGCTCCTGGAACTGACACCCGCAGAGGAAATGTTTCATGCCCCCCCACCCCCCGGCTGGTCACGTGGAGCGTTGCAAGTGGGCCTAGAGTTGAAGGTGGCACCTGCCACTGCCTGGGCCCTTAGCAACGAAGTGGGTGCAGCCCCGGAAAGCAGGCCAGAGCTGCATCCAGGAGGGTGCTTTTGCACTGCCTGGATTTTTGTTTTTTTAAATTTGTGCTTGTATTACTTTTAGTGAGCAAAAGAAAACAGAAAAGAGCAAAGGGAATGCTCCCCAGGCTCTGCAGGCAGCCGGATGTCAATCCTGCCTCATTAGGAAAATGAAGATGACGATACTGATGACTTCCTAAGGCTTCTGCTTCGCCCTCTCTCCTTTCTGAAGGAGGTGATGCTGTTACGTGCTGAGAAAGGCGATTGGCAGGTAGCGAGTACTCAGTACTGGGTTCCATTCTAATCTCCTCCAATCAATGATGGGGACCCAGCAAGTAAGGCAAACTCGCTCTGCTCCTCCACATGACACGACTCTATCGTGAGGGGACTAGACTCCTTGAGAGCCTGAGTGAGTCTGGTGGCTAACAAAGAGAAAACCCTTCACTGCATGTTTGAGACACCCTGAACGTGGATTCACAGCAGCTGAAAACAGAAGATTCCGCAGAGCCTAACAATGCAGAGATGACAGAAATACACTGGATTACTTAGACACATGAGGACCCAGCCTAACCTTCTGAAAGCGATGCATGCGGGAGGTTGAGCAGAGTGGCTCCACAGCCCTGGGCGCCAGCACAGACCAGGAACGGAGCGGGAAGACCCTATCTGATGCCTCAGATCCATGACAATCTTTTTTTTTTTTTTTTTTTAAGATTTTATTTATTTATTTATTTGAGAGAGAGAGAGTGAGCGAGCAAGCAAAGAGCACAAGCAGGGCGAAGGGCAGAGGGAGAAGCAGGCTCCCCGCTGAGCAGGGAGCCCGATGTGGGACTCGATCCCAGGACCCCGGGATCATGACCTGAACTGAAGGTAGACGCTTAACTGACTGAGCCACCCAGGTGCCCGATTCATGGTGACCCTGAGCACCATCGTGTGCTTGCTAAGCCAGGGCGGCACAGTAACCCTGGGCTGGGTGCTGTTACTAAGGGTGACGGCATGACCCACAGCACCCCGAACAGGGTCACGGTGTTCACTGGTTGCTGTCGCTCTCTTACCTGACAGCATATGGAAGCATACTGGTGGCCTTTTGGTACTCTGTCCATCCTGTGAGGATGGCTGTCACCAAACAGGAAGAAGGAAAACACATCATGATCAATGGAGTTAGTGATCAAAGCTGAGCGGGTGCACAGATGTTTGGAAAAGGTTAAGTGTTGCTTTTCGGTTTGTTTCTCTGGCTGGCTAATGCAAGCAACTTGGCTTCTACTTCTTTAGAAGCAATCTGAGAACATCTATAGCCTTTGAGTATTATCATAAGGAGATTTTAAATGCAAGGCCAAAGCCTATGTGTGAGCGTACAGAACGGGCAGACATCCAGGAAACCAAATCAGATTACACTGTACATCACTAGAGCCCACGTGAGGATTTTTCTCCTTATTTTCAGGACTCAGCGTGGCCCACCCCTGGATGAGGCTGGGGACCCGGAAACCCACGACAGCCAATTCTGGCTTTTACAGTTTGTAAGAAAACACAGAATGTCTCTCCTCAGACGACACCTACAGGCAGTTAGAGCTGAGGGTACAGCTGTGCAGTGTGGTGGACCCTTAAGAAACGGTTTCTCATTCAGTCTCAGCCTGTGTGGAGAAAGGTTCTGCTGTGCTAGACCAGGGAAAGTGCTTCAAGTCAGAAGGCCCGGATCTGAGCTGATGGAACCGACCGAAGGCCGGTCAGCATCGGGTGCTCTCTGGATGCTCGGCTCCTTGCTCTCGCCCGTCCACGGAGGGGTTGCCTCTGCCCTGTATGGGGGTTTAGGCACTGTGGTGTCGGCAGAGGCCAGGCAGCCCTGGATAAATGGGGCCCAGCACCTCATGTGCAGAAGGGCGCTGTGGGGTCTGCACGGAGGGATGGGCCTTCTGCCGGCGGAGCTGCCCCGCTGGCTTCCTAGTCAACCACTACAGCCGAGCTGTTCGAGGTTCCCTTCAACAGTCAGGCTTACGAGCTCACTTTCACATGAGCTTTTGGGCCCCAAGTGCCCTGGCTCATGGATCACCGCGGGCTGGTCTGGCATCCTCTCAGGAGTTTGTTTTGGGGGCCAGTAGGATAAGAAATAGTGCAAATAGCAGGAGGACCTTTTTAAGGCTTGGTGAACCATCTGGAGAGCCTGAAGGTGTCCTGGTAAGCATGACGCCAGGTGTGGCGGGAGGGAGTGTGGGGCTGAGGGATGTGATTCTGGCCTCCAGGCAGGGGACGCCCACACACGGCCCTCAAGCTCTCTGCTTTCGCATCTACAAAAGTCCTTCAGTCCTTACAGAATTCCGGTGAGATAAAACGAGGTGACTCCTAAGAAGGCACCTAGACACGGTAAATATTCCACGGTAGACCCTTATTTGCTCCCAGGTCCAGAGGGAACATGCTGAATTGCCTGGATGAGGTAGGACAACTGACCCATGAAAGCCATCTCTTTGTCCAGCTACCCGCAGGGCACCACTGAACCAGCAGCCCCAGTCAGAAGCCTCTTCTCACGTCTGGGTGCCGGCCCCACTGGGTGTTCCCGGGAGGACAGAGGCGAGAGCGAATACGTCAGTGCTCACCTGCCTCATCTCCTCCTCCTCACCCGCTGATTCATTCATTCAACAAGATACTTGCCGAGAAGCAGAAAAGCCTAAGGGTTCAGAACTGATCCCCTACCCCCAACCCCTTTGCAGTTGCGCTTTCTGCAGTTTCAGCTCCCTGTGTCAATGGTGGTCTCAAAGTCCATGGTCCTCCTCCTGACAAATCGTCAGAGGGTCGGCAGCGGCCAAACGCTACGTCACAGCACTTCCAACATTCCCCTACTGCATCTCCTCACGCGGGCGTTTTATTACCGTCAGCATCGCAAGATGGGTGAGCATGGGACAATAAGATACCGGGAGAGAGAGCACAACCTCATAACTTGGGTTACAGTATACTGTTGTAACCGTTCTATTTTATTATTAGTTGTTGTTCAGTTCTTACTGTACTTAATTTATAAATTAAACTTTATCACAGGTATGTATGGATAGGAGAAAACATAGTATAGACATTTGGTACTCACCGAGGTTTCAGGCATCCCCCACAGACCAGGGGGACTACTATGATGCTTAAGTGTTCAGAAAAGTACCCGAGATAAATAACACCATCTATAGGTTGGCTCTTACTATTACTACATGCAAGGGACTTTTCTAGGCCCTTGGGTACTGGTGAAAAAA